GCTAAAGGGTTTACACTACCTCAGCCCAACCATGGTGGGTGCTGAGGTAAGAAAATTTATGTTTACGGCACTTCTAGATGGCGGAAATGGCTCACAGCTTAAATTTAAAATATAATTTTTTTTTTCCCCTTTTTTTTTGTTATTAAAAAAAAATAGGATGGGGGGAGCCCGGGGCAGCTCTCCCCACCCCCACTGCAATCATGAGGTAAGAAAATTTAGGATTACGGCACCTCTAGATGGCGGAAATGGCTCTCAGTTTAAATTTAAATGCTTAAAAGAACATCAAGGATCCCAAATGATCAGATTTGTTGAATTGATTAAACCAGTTTTATACCGTTTACTATCAGATAAGTATTAAACGCCGATGATCTCCAGTTGAGCATCTACATGATAAAAAAAATTATCGGTTATACCAGGAAGTCATGTGAACTGACCTGAAAAAAACATGCACATTGCTGATTGTTTCGTAACCCTTTGTTAAACAGTTTCAAAATGTATTTAATTGATAAAAACATAATTTTTCAAATATAATGATAATTGTATCCACGTTGTTTATCAACAGCGACTTCCAGTGATGACTCACACATGTCAAACAACAGCTAATTTGCATAAAGACAAGGCTGATCAATGATCTCTGTTAACACTGCTGTTGTGCGGAGGTAACTCTATAGATCATTGCAGTTACCGACGATCCGTTAAGCAAAGTTACTAACTCTGTTTACACGGCCACTCAACACCTATATCAATGGATAAACTCGATCATCACAGTGATCTACTGCCGTGTAAACAAGACTATTGAAATTCCAATTGTTTTTGTTTTTGGTACTAGTAGTAGCCCCTCCATATTGATGTTTACTGAATGTAGAGAAGAGCTAATTGCTAATCTACATACTTGTTAACTTGTAAAGCACTTTCCTATCAGTTACGAAGCGCTGTAAGTTTTTTCCTGCTCATTAGCAGGGGCGGATTTAGGGGGGGGGCCGGCCCGGCCCCGGCCCCCCCTTTTGGGAGGTAAAAAAAAGAAAAAAAAAGAAAAAAAAGAGAGAAAAAGAAAAAAATGATAGCCCAGAATGCCTCAAATGTTATGTTCGGGCGTCTAGAACACAAAAATTTCGCGGGGGCATGCCCCAGACCCCTTACGACAGTGTTGTCTCAATCGGTCCAACTTTCGGCCCCCGCTTCCGGCCCCCCCTTTTGGACATTTCTGGATCCGCCCCTGATTAGGTCCACATAAATGTTGCTGACATATTGGCGCAGTAGCAGGCAACCTCACCAGGTACCCATTTATACTGCTGGGTGGAGAGAAGCAATGAAGATAAAGTGCCTTGTTCAAGGACACAAGCGAAATGCACAGCGAGGGATTAAAACCCCGACCACCAGGTTGGGAAACCAAACCGTTCCCACTGCGCCGAACCGCTTCTTACAAACTTTTGGTAATCTTCGGAAACTGATCCTAGTTTGTTTAGAGAAATTAATTTCATGGAAATCAAAATTGAATTAAACTAGCACAGGTCTCTTATACACATCTAGATGTGTATAAGAGACAGGCCTATATATATGTGTGTGTATGTATATGTATGTATGTATGTATGTATACACACATATATATATATATATATATATATATATATATGTGTGTGTGTGTGTGTGTATATTTATATATACTAATAGTCCCACCTGTCATCTTGTTTTCCAAATCCTTGGCATTCAAGAGCACATCCCACACAAGATGATGTTCCAGCATGCTTTACGTGTTGTGCACGCAGCTTATCAAAGCTTGTCGGTATACGATGATCATTATCGGAGTGTTTGCATGTATTGCACTTAGCTAACCACGAAGCTTGTATACCAGTGGATGTGTTTTTATAGTCATCACAGTCACAACGAGGATGTTGACAGGGTCTTCCATGTTTTAAGCCCTTTTTTCTAATCTACAGTAATGAAATTATAAATATAAACAATAACAAAAATGCAATTAGAGTCCATCAATATTAAAAAAAGATAAATTTGTTAGCCATTTACTTTAATGGAATTGTGGAATAATTATAGTAAATAATGCACTAAAAGGAGAGAATGCATGTTGTTTATGTTTATCTTGAATCCAATGCCCATTTCAGTAATAATTTTGCACTTTGAATTGTAAATTCAACTTTTAAGTTAAGATTGAATTGACAGGGTCTTTCTAAATACCAAACATTATCATTCTAGAGATTCTTTAATAATGTTCGATAACTTAAAATCTATATTGCTTATAGTTTAATAGCCCTTGAATTATTATTAATAAGTAAAGGATAGACGAGGTGCATCTAAAACTTTGTGAGTATGTAAAAGTCCTAGAGCCAATACATTTTATACAAGTTAGTCCAAAAATTGCTGTTGTAATTTCTTATTATTGTTCCAATAAGTTCAATAATGCTGATAAATAATGTCCTATTTACTAGTTTTTTTTAAAATACTTACTTTACTAACTTGGTCCACTGTTAAAGAATCTATAATTGAAATAAGATATAAAATTATAATGGTATAAATTCACAAGGTATATTACAGTACTGTATATGTAAGCAAATTCTAGTTCAATTAGGTGAAGGTGTTAATTTTAATATAAAACCATATTGCTATACCAGGCAACCCCTCCTCCCACCCAACCCTGAGAAAAAAATAATACTCAAGCATTGAAATATTACTTCACATCAACTTACTTTATACGACCGGATTATTTTATAACAAACTTACGTGGGAAATGTAATTTAATTTGCTAATGTTTAAAAATAAAGGAGATGTAATGAACTTAAAAATGGGGGGCTTTCTGAGCAAAACAAAGTATTGAAAAACAATTTATCTTGAACTATAAGCATAGTTAAGCAGAGCTATAGAATAGGGATAATTATAATAAAATGAAAAATAAACTTTGAAGGACTAATTGAGAATCCAGATTTGTGGTTATGATTGAACACTTTATATTGAAACGAAATAACGTCTTTCCTTTATATGAATTGAAGCTATGAAATCAGTTTCACAATGATTCAAGTTATGGTTACCATTGTTATATTGTCCCTTTTGTGGTGGGGAAGAAATCCCTTTTAGCTAAAAAAACAATTAAAAAACGTTGTGTACACCTTTCCACAGGTGCAAAAGTCATTACGAAAATGGCAACAAATAAAAACTCTGTACCTTTCTGTTTCTTTCAGTGTAACATAAGTAGCGTCTTCCTCTCTTTCCCTTTTTTAACCCTTTGTTTGGTGGGGATTATATTTTAGCTTGTGTAACTACAATACTTAGTCAAAAGATTTTTGTATGATCCTTATGTTTATTGTATTTTAGCCTCTGGTTGGAGAGCCAAATTACTATTTTTCCCCTCAAGGCAATACTATTAGAAGTGGTATTGCCTATGATTCAAATAGAGTACTGGGATGGGATCATAGAGCCATCCGCAAATGTAGGACCCAGCATACAAAAGTACTCACTACATTGTTTGGAAAGATTAGGGGATTTTTATCAAGTTGACTCATCAATTCCCTACTGTGCGTAGATTTAATATTTCTGGATGGTGGCAAAGATATATTTTCAGTCTCATTTTATGGTGGCAGGTCCTATTCTTCAAGTCTACATTGTAGAAATATACAGCAGGCAATGATAACTATTATTGCAGTATAATATGGTAATCCATGGCCCTCGTACCTAAGATAAATAATTAACCTCCTTGGTTCACCAAAGTACACAGGAGATATAAATTGTTGTCTATAATTCCCACTTTTATATTCCACAGTTGCAATCTTTGATGACCTCTGACCTTTCATTCATTCATTCATGGATTTTATTCTATATATTATTCAATATAAAAAATTCGAGCAAAAAAGTTAAAAAGATTATATCATAAAAACTACAAAATTACCATTAAAAAAAAAAAAAAAATGAGTAAGTGAATAAA